CCTTGCATCTTAATTTTATTCACTTTTCAAAAGAATAACAATATCTTACGTCATTAGTTTAGAGGGCCTATTACGGGGAATCTTTTGGAATCATTACGGTCTTGGTCAAATTAAGATTTTTCATTGGTCAAACGATAATGACGTAATAAAACCATATTACCAAAACGTGAGCTGTGAATTTCGTTTGTCTTTTTTTGGGAGGCTCTCTCATAACAAAAGCACAGCATGGCACCACACGTGGCAGCTGGCAGGATGCCAAAAGTGGCCAAAAGTAGGTAATCTGAAGAAGTTGATGCCATTTTTGAACTTGTAATTTTATTAGGAAAGTATTAGAGGTTGGTTGCTATTCTTACTAAATCGAAATTGTGTTGCACATACTAATAGCTCATATGAACATTCTGGATTGGGATTTCATACCTGGCAGAAGTGGATTGCTGGATTATTTTTAACAAAACTGACCTATTTGGCTTCCAGGTTTGATTTCCTAACATCTGTCCATAGGCGGCAGAACAGGGGGGGGGGGTGTGGCACCAGGGTACAGTGCCCCCCATAGAGTTTGGCATTTTAGCATTAGCCCTACTGGCGTTGCAGAAAGAATGGGACCAAAATGAAAATCTGCAGTGCCCTGCTGCCACTGCATCTGTCTGTACTGTTTGTTCTTTGAATTAAAGTGGCTGTAGCTTGTTGATAAGATTGTCATCAGTGCTGTCATGAAAAAGTTACAATGGGTCACAAAAAGTAGCAATATGCATGTTCTTGGTTTATTTTAAATGTAGTACAAATGTTGTTTATTTAAATTCAAATTTAATGATGATACCTAATGATCACAAGTGGTCTTAACCAATAACCATGTCCACAAGTGATAATTCTCAATTGTATTGCACTGTAAGGTGTACAATTATGTAGGATAAGGGTTTCATTGGCTACATGTTGTCGTGAGATCCATACAGATCATAGGTCCTCCACAAATTTTAGCCCGCTGGATCCACAGAAATCATAGATCCGACCCCTAAATTTTGTCGAGAGATCCATTCAGATCATAGATCCAACCCCTGAATTTTGTCGAGAGATCCACTCGGATCATAGATCCAACCCCTCTATTTTGTCGAGAGATCCACTGAGATCATAGATCCAGCTCTCGGATCCAAGCACATGTCTGATCCTCAGTTCATTCACACCAAATGAACAGAATAGCCGTCCAATAAAAAGTACAGCAAGATTTATTCTGGCTTTCTCATCTATGACGTCACCGTTTGGCGAACTCGTGAGACCATCGCTACTACATATAATACCAGTCACGCAATGGAGACCGAGCTACACTGCTCGTATTTTCAGCTGGTGCAATGCAGCGTCGCGCGGGCCGCCCGGGGCAATGAGTTCCCCTGCGTGCCGCGCCTGCGAATTGCCTCTCCGGTCTCGTTGCGTTCCCCGGGGCGCGGTTCGAGGCTATCCCGGCTCCAGACCGGGACTGGCTCGGCCTGCAGAGCTCTGTGCAGTGGCACGATTACAACCGGAGCAGCGGCGAGCTGGACCTGACAGGTGAAAGTGAAACGACGCGAGACGACTCGATCCGGGTGCGGTCGTTATACTTTCGATTGTTATCTATTGGAATGATCTAAAAACTCAACATGAATTTACCTTTACTCTTGTTACTATTTTTTTAAGATGATTGTACCAGAGGATAATGTTAACCCGCGCCCTGCTGGGGGGGGGGGTGTTTGAACACCCCCCTTGTGGTTTTTCGCGAATATCTCAAAAACGGCGGCGCGGAGCGCCGCCGTTTTTGGTACACCTTATCATGCATCAATTCTACACATGTTGTGAAAATTTCAGACCAAGGTCATTCAAGGTCAGGTCACCAGGTCACTTGAAGTGACCTCACCTCATAAAAAGTTTCAATGTCTCTCATAGCTACACCGAGTGACCGATCGCTTTGAAACTTTCAGCGATTGCTAAGAGCAATAGCATGTACAAAATGTATATCTCAGAATTTTGATATCGATGACCTAAGGTCAGGTAAATTTTGCGACCTCCCCATTATAAGTCAATGGGAGAAAATTGAAATGGGTCTCTTTTGGACGAAAGACATTATAAACACTCCCAAACACTGAATTACAAGTGGTTTAGACACACTGAACATGAAAATGGTGTCCGTGACCCCTGTTTATGCCCTGAGGTCATCTTAGGTCACGAATGGTATCTAACAGTTTTTCGCAAATAACTTTTGATAGAGGCATGCTAGAGCGATGAAAACACCTTAGATGTGTTCAGCTCGACGATACGGATCGACTGATATGCAACATGACCCTTTCCGGTCAGGTCATGACCTTGACCTGAGGTCAAATTTTCAAGTTGACCTTTCAAGGTCAAGTTATAGTTCATTCGATGCGTCTTGACGAGAGGAACACGATGCCGGTAAAAGTACGCTCGTACAAGGCTTGGTTCAAAAGTTATTGCAGAAAAACTGTTTTTCCGAAAAAATCGGCTATTTTTGCAGTTTTTGCCCCCTGCAGGCAAAACCGTTGACGTTAGGTCAAATCTGAGAGAATTACTCAGAAAGGGCGTTAATAGGGCTATCGAATGCGCTTTCCGCGGCGCTGTAGCTCTATTGGTTCCCGAGTTATGCGTTGGCTTCTTGGAAATTTTCGACATTCGACCTGGAAATCGGCGAAATTTTGCCTTCAATGACCTCTGGTGACTTGACCTTTGACCTGACCAAAAAATTGACCGAAGTGATTTCGTCATTATTTTTGACGCTCTTTCGAACGCCGCCTTCCGCGTATCGCTACGTGGCCCAGGAGCCGAGTTAGAAGGGGGGGGGGTGTTCAAACACCCCCCCCCCCCCAGCAGGGCGTGGAAATCCAGGACCCCCAGCCGGGCGCGGGTTAAATGATTAAGTATTCCTATCAATTAGTCATCTTTTTATAACCCACAACCCTCGTTCAACTTTACTAGTTTGTAGGTTTCAAGCAGCTCCCCCATCAAGGCTCGATACTCCCCTAAAACGATCATAACGCGGCCCTTATCCGGGACAGCGTGCGCGGCGCGAGCGCTACAAGCTGAGAACGAGTGCAACGCTATTGAGGTCGTTTTAAACTAATTACCGACCGAGAAGCACTCACGGATTCGAAGAATCTGATACTTTGAGGTGGCTGGTAGTTGCACCACAAAGACGCCCATTAGAAACAGAGTGTGCTCGCTTCAGAAGCGGCCCTTGTTATCTCGTAGTTCTGAGCAATGCTAGGAACACCTTAAGCGTAAAACGTGTTTTGTGCGCAATAATGGATTGCAATCAGTTATAGAATTACGCAGTATTGTAATATAGTTGCATTTATGCGATCTTACTATCGGTCAGATGCTGACCAAAATAGGGCATGCTAAATTTGGCGGCGCTACGCGCCGCGTTTTACGTTATTCGCGAAAATCCTGAAGGGGGGGGGGGGTGCATCAACCCCCTCGCCGGGCGAGGGTTAAACAGGTAATTGTACGGCAAGTTACCAGTGGCGCGGGGAACTTAGAGGTGTGCCCGCAATTAGCGAGTGCAGTCGGTCGGCATGCGGTCATTAGTGTTTATTTGCGCTCATTATCAACTTTACAGCCCTCCTTAGCATCTAAAAAATGGCGAGAATATAACGCTTGGAGTTGGAGTGAGCCTGAGCACTAATAATATTGAATTGTATTGTATTGTATTGTATTGTATTGTATTGTTTTGTATTGTATTGCATTGTATTGGCAATTAAAACACTCCACACACTAAAATGGCTTTTCTTAGTGTCGCGTCTGACTTAAAAGGGGAAAAGACGAGTTAAAATGAACTCAGATCACAACACTCAGTAAACATATAGAACAATTCACTCATCTCCACACAAATACGTTAATACCTTTGCCTTGAATTTTGAAGCCGTGCATAGCGGTATCTTACAGTATTTATGCTAACTCGAATCAGTGTGAAAAATAGGGCTTATACTTCCATAGTAGTTTGAAAGAGCAGTGTCCCAAAATGCGTTGATTTGGATGAGGAACGACTTCCAAATAAAACTCATTTTGCACTCGTTATTCTTATTTTTTAGAGCACTTTTCACTCCCAACTTCCCCCCCAAAAAACTTGTATGGATGGTCGTTAAACATCCTACATTTTACCAACCTTATATGTCATTGTATGCTTTTGATCCCTTATCCATTCTTATTGGGCCTTATCTGACCAACCATTTTCCACTCTAATCCCCTTTTCGGAAAGGAATTTCCCCTCTGACACGCAAGCCAAAATACAATTTTGGGACACTGAAAGAGGGTAAGTTATTTTGTGAGAGATGGAAGTCAATCCATCTTTTGGAAATTTGAAGCGTTTAAGTGGTACCTACACACGCAACATCTTTACGTCTCTTCGCAATGGAAAGCTTCTGTCATATTGACATAATTTGGAAAGCTCACTCGTCAATTGCTAATGAAAATATTTAACCGGCTAAATTGAATAAAATCACTGGCTGATACTTCCAGGATTCCAGTTTATTTGCTCACTGGCGCTCGTTTTCAAGTTGAGGAAGTTGGCGATCTTTGACTAAACCTGTCAAATCAGACAGATTGCGCTCGAAGTTTGGATGGGAGGTTCGGCTTTAGGGATGCATCCAATCAACTCTGCAAACTTCGGCTGTGTGCAGAATTAAAAACGACGCGGCTGAAGGTCTACTGATACCGACAAATTAACGTCAAATAAATCTGTTACTCGAATTCTACTTCACTTTGATAAAAAGAGTATTTTTCTAACTGAACTAACCAATGTAGTGTTACACCAAGCTATTGTGATGCTATGATCATTTGCGTCATTTGGCTCGTTGGTGGAGCACTCCTTTCAGTTACCGGTGGTGACACGCCAAAAAAAAACTGTCAAAGTTCCTTTCATTCCGCGCATGCTGACGAGCACCCCCATATACAGTCTCCGACAGACGTGCTGACGAGGCGGACAGCTGGGTGTCTGGCGTCACAATGGCCGCGCTGCTCACCGTGTCGGGACAGGACGGCAGGGTCTCGATGAGGACCTCTGGCACGGTGAGCGGCGGCGGCGGGGTGGCGGCAGACGGCGGCGACTGCTGCACGGGCTGACCCTCCACCAGGGCCGGCGGCGCGGCCGGCCGGGCCGGACCGGGCGCCGGTGCCGCCGCCGGCCGTGGCTCGGCCAGGGACCCGGGCAGGGGTGGCCGGCTCTCGATCGGCGGCATCGACGGAGCCAAGCTCGGCTGGCCGGGTGGCACCAGCAGACCAGCTCCTGGAACAATAGAGAGCAGGTCGAACGGCCGCCGGTATTTATTGGACATGGCAATGCAATCTTTCGGCAATGCAATATAACCGGAATGTGGTTGTGTCAAATAAGATATCGGTGGCTGATTTTATTTGATCGACTTAAAAGCGGGCAGCTGAACAGATGCCCTTTGGGCTGGGTGGCAGCCGTGTCTGGTGTCGTGCTGCTATCCCGACAGCGAGCAAACATTCTCACAGACGGGACACTCTGCGGCGGGAGTGAAACGGGTGACGGTCCGCGGCGCTTCTCCGTAGTAACGGCCCCGTTCTGGGAATCCGACGGGCGGCGCGCTCCTCTCGCGGGGCTTTATTTAGCCGGGGCCAGCGGCAGCTCGGCCGAGCCGCGCCAGCTCGCAGCCGGCAGCTGCCTCAGCTCTGCCATCAGGGCTGACTGTAAACAGAGGATCGTGCCGCCTGGAGCGCGCCGCGGCGCCGGCCGAGCTCGCGCCGCGCGTCCCGATATAGGCCGGCCCCCTGGGAGCTGCGGAGCTGGGGATCAGCCGGAGACGGGCCGGAGGAGCCCCGGAGGTGGGAGGACGCTCCCCGGCGGCCGAACCGCGGGGGAGTTGGTACAGATGTCGGCTGACGCGCGTGGGATACACGGGGGAATTGCATTGGATCTGAAGACAATTGAACGAATAATGACCATTCCAGGCGCTCGACGTTTGTCGTCATTGTATGCAGTAAAGTATTTACCTTTGTCAAGCTGGGAGATAAACACGACAATTCCAACATCCTCCAACACGACAAATCGTATTGGAGTTGTCGCGCTGGAAGGTGTCGTATTTCAATTTAGTTGGTTAATTGTAGACTTTAATATTTTCGGAATAGGGCAAGAACTTTTTCCGAGGATTAAGCATTTTTTTCAAAATACCGAAATATATTCCAAACAAGAAAGCCTTGGAAACGATGTTGCGGATGCCAGCAAGTGTTCGTGTTTTATCTACAAGATATGCAATATCGCCGAAAGCCTCCCTCGAGAGGCGGCGCGACCGCCATCCTCCCCAGAGACGGCCGCGGGGTACCGCCCGGCCCACATACTCGTGTCTGCGACAGCACGAGGCTCTGATCCGCCATCGACCCGGCAGCGGCCGCGCTCAGCGGCGCTCCAGACCGACCGCGCTCGCCGGAACAGCATCATTCAGGCGCCCGCGCGCAAAGCCATCTAGCGGCAATTCGAGAAGCTCTTCACTGCAGCGGCTTCGCGGGTACATACATACCGAGCTGCGCTGGGAGCGTTGAATTGAATTATCATTGATTGCTACGATGCATTTGCATGGACTTTTTTATAAATTTAGCTCGAATGTTTGAATGGACGGCGACAGAGCCGGAGCCCACGCTAAGCAGAGCTTGTTGCGTAGACCCCGACTCCTACCATCCGATCGCGCAATTCCCGGTAACGGGATAATTTAGATGCCAAAGTTTAACAGTGTCCTTCAAAGCCGGACACGGCCTGCCCCACTCTACTGACTTCAACTTGCTGCGGCTGCTCCTACCAACCGCAGACCATCCCTGTCAGGAGTTTCAAACATCGAGCGCCGGAGCGAATCGAATCCGGGCTCTCGCTAGCGGGAGTCCAGCGCTTTAATAACTGAGCTACGGGACAGGACAAGACAGACTTGGGAACTTAGATGGTGTTGTAGGACATTGCCTAAAAATCCATTCTGCGATGGACGCGTAACTAATGCATAAAAAAGAAAAGCTTACATTTGTTTAATTGATGTCTATTGGAAGCATGACGACGCGGCCATGGTGGAAAACGTTTGAAGCTGCTTACCAGATTCTTCTATCAAATGTCGCATTTGATGGCTGTTTACTGAAACCCTCAGCTGGATATTTCGACGTACTCTGTCATCACTCAGCCTTCCATTAGAGCTGCTCTTTTCAAATAAGCCGGAATTGATTTTGGATCAGAGGATCGTGATGGCAGCCAACACAGGCCGCCTTTTCCGAGGACTATTGGTGCCCTGTCGATAAATCATGTCCGTAGGCCGGCGCGGCTGCGGGTTTTTGTCGATCATCCTGATTGTCGTGTCGTCTTTGATGTGTTCTTCATCTCTGTGGCGTGGTCTGGTCTATCTGCCCGCCCGCCCGGGGCGTCTGTCAGAGCGCGGCGAGCGGTACCCGGCCGCTGAACCGCTCTGGCGAGCCTCTCAATGTTCCGCAGCGGAAATGAGGCTTCCAGAGCTTTCAACGGAACAAGTTTGTAAGCCACCTGAACACAATGATGAGGTTCTTTGAGATGGGATCTGTGGAGATAAACGAGTAAACAAGCCTTTGAGGGGATGTGAGCGAGCGTAGTTGTCTGATGTGTCTGAAATAAACGCAGATGGTGTGGGCTGCTTCTTTGCGGTATATATTATGATGGCTCTAATGTAATCCAGGTCTCCAATTCGTTTAATGCTCTCCAAGGTCAGACACTTTTTTACATACACCTCTCACCGTCACTTATGGAATTTCGCCGACCAAAGACACTTTCTAGTCTAAACGTTTGCAATGCGTCAATATTTTCATTGAGTGGAGAGACACTTCTTTGTCTTCATAGCTCCTGTGTAACAGTTTGGTTACAGGTCAATGGAAAATAACTTGCTTTGTCTCCTGAGTACATGTAGTGGCGTTCAGGGTAGACTTCTCACCTTGTCTCCTGACGCCGAGGATGATACCCAGGGTGGCCGGGGGTCGGGCTTGGAGGGGGGCAGCCGCGCCGGCCGCTGGAGAGACTCCCGGAGTGAAACCACCGGGGCTCAGCGCCGAGCCACCGCCGACGCCGTTCACAGTGTCTGAAAACGAACACCGAATGCCGTCCGTCACTCTGAAATACACGTACTGGTGCTACCGACCACCTCACAACGTGTGGGCATCTTCTATTGATGGTAGATTCTTATTACGAGTATACCATATAATCTCGTGTACCAAGAGATTGGCAGTCCGATAAAAAAGCGGAATCCATCCGTGAAGCCTGAATTCCGTCCGATAGTGCCCGCGGCAGAGCTTTGCCTAAATATTGGATGCGGGTTTGGCATACTGATCAACTGGTAACAAACCAGCGCCGGCCCACATCAGACACTGATATAAACCAGCCCGCTCCGCCATCCCACCACCAGCCGCAGCTGAATTTCACCGACGCGACGGATATAGACGACAGAGAACTCAATTAGTTCGGCGTCGCGCGCGGCTCGCGCCCAGCGGGGCTCGGCCGGCGCTCGGATGGGGCTAGAGCGTGCTCATTTGGTGCTCGGCCAGAACCCCATCTCCGTCGCACGCTCAGTAGAAATTGTTTCTAACGGGTGTTCGTTCAGCGGTCTCTGAGCAAATTTTGGCTCAGTGCACGGTTTGGTTCAGTGTGAATGTTTCGTCAATGGAAGGGTCTAGGGGCGAGTACTGTCTCAGTGGGACGTTCTCCGGGGCGGGGTTGAATCATTGGGGCAGTCTGCGGAGTGAGTATCCGCTCGACGTGACAGGCCCTGATACCCGATTGGCTCAGTCCCCTAGCGGTTTGCGGTACCCTCACTACTCTGCCCGCAAGAGTGGGCAGCGCTGGCCGACTTTAATCGAGGTTGGCGGCGACAGCAGCCATTTGGAAGTTGAGCTAGTAAGAGACATGGCCGTCCGCGCCGGCCGAGTCACCGCCTCTGCAGTGTCAGCGGGGCCAAACGGTGGGGCAGTCAGCGGCGACTTCTAGCTGAAGGCAGGACGCCGCACCATATGGTCAGAATGGTGTGTAAGTAATGGGGCATATGGTCGGACTCAGCAACTACATTCGTAAGTGGGCTATATGCTGTATGGTGAGTGATTGCAATCGATATTGAACAAAGGGAAGTAATAATGATAGAAGTTGTAACAGGAATAGGATTTGGTACTTAACAGAGGTTTGTCATTATATTAATTCGACAATTTATAAAAAAAATGGGGAAAATATGGAAAACAGTATGATATATGAATGTTTTTCTTTCAGCCTAGGTGTTCAAGATCATCACAATCCTATGCAAAAAAAAACTTTCTGCTATGATGTCCGAACTGAGCGTTCATGTAAATTAAAACGCTATCCACGGTGTTGATGAATTCCAGAATGAATAATAGCAGACGTGAATTAGGGCGCTCATCTTTCTCAGAATAAGTACACTGCATTTTATTGCACACAACAACGGACAGAACTGCAATATCTACGTAAAGTCTCACCCATCAGAACTAAGGAGAATGCCATTAGCCGTTTTCACGACGGGCTATCCGGCGAATGCACCTGATTTGACCAAATCTGCACTTAATTTCTTTTACAGCAAATATCTTCATTTTATGAATTTATTTCAGTGTTTTAATCGATGATGCTCTCTGATAATATGACAAAGCAGGCATATAAGCAATTAGTGCAACCCTAGCTGATAGCTGCTAAGAGATACACTGAACCTGATTTGACCAAATCTGCACCTAATCTGTACCAGATGTGCACCAAATGTGTACCAGATGGCCGTCGTGAAAACGGCTAATGTCTCCTTGACAATCATGAAATGACAGCCGGATGTGATATTATAATCCTTGCGTAATGCATAACCATCATGTTTGTGTCCGCTCAACCTGCGCTGATGTGTGGTGGTGGGATGATCAGACCGTGATTGTGTCAACTGTCATCCATCATTTGTCCCGGCTTAAAGCCACCTAGCTGGGCGCCATCCCGCCTATGCATCTCCACCGCTGGGCATCGCCTGGCATCCAAATGACATCGTCGTCCGCCGCTCCGACCCACCCTATCGACTGACGTGTCGTGCCTCGCACCTCTGTTGTCGGTTCTCGACACCGGCCAACTCCAAGGGGTGAGCAAACAGACCAAACTTTGTGTCAGAGGAAGGACCCCACTGCTTCGCGAAGGAACTCGTTAAAGATGCGTAGTTTAGGAGGGCAGTGATTTCGTTCTACGCAATTGATCTTATTTGACGTGTATTCGTCGCTTTTTGTCTCTGGACTGCTCTTCGGTGATGATGTTTAAAAGTAACTATTTCCTGTAAAATGGAACCACTGGACGTTATACTTAAAAGAATCATTGTAATAAAACCGAATGTCGAATTATTCGCTGCCAGATCCTGGTCAGCAGAAAATCTCATTCAATATCGGATTGGACAAAAAGAGTTCCCGAGTCAATCCTGAGTCCGATGTCACTGTCAGTGTAATCTAACCAACCATTGCCACCGATAATGTCGTAGAGGTGACTTTCGGTCAAGGTATGTTCATCATGACCCTAAAAAACTGCTGTTGATGAATTTCTTTCATTTACTGAGGTACGGAATCAAATAGCCAAAGCGCCAGAAAGGGCGCCCCTCTCCACTTTGATGGAGCTGCGGCGCTCATTACTGCCATATATGCTCTGTCAGTCAGTGCACAGTACCCACATAACAGTCTCCTCTAGTGTTCACAGCCTGATTTAACGTAAAAATAAACCCAGAAGCGTGAACGACACACTATTTCTACCACAGGAAGCTGACTATTTTTCAGATAGCAGGACGCTGAGCGACTGCAGAAACTAGCAGCGATTTGTGGCCTGTAAATCACACCACTCTGGTGAGGTATACAATCTCGCCTGGTTTGCATAATTCATCCATTTGGTAGCGTGTTCGGTCAGAGTGTGGTTTTGTTAGAATGGCTGGTAAAAAAGCAGACTGTTTATACGGTTAAGAATTCTGGCTCGCTCGGGTGTAGTCTGCAGGTGTTTATCATATAGTAACCAAGACCTTGAACTGTTGTTGAGAGAACGGTGCTAGATTTATGTTCAGCTGAAAATGTATCACTTGAAGCACACCTGCTTTTGTAATAAATTCGCTTCGTTTTCATAAATCAATGTCGCTCAAGCAATTTAAAACAACGGACGTTTACGCCCAAGATTTGGCTACATTTTAAAAGTCGTTCCATCACGCTTCAGATTTATTGTTCCATCGCTGGAACATTTATTTCGCCAGAGTTGGAGGCAGCCGGACGAGACATAAACGCTGCATTATGCATACTCAGATCACAGCTTTGGCTAGCCTCGCCCTTGGTGGGGCGAACTGAGCTGATAGCTGGTGCCGGCCCGTTGGAATCAGCCGCCGTTTTTACAGAATGATTCTGAAGGTTACAAAATTGTGTTGATAACACTTGTGACCCGGCTATCATGCTAATGCCGCTGTACTCACTCAGCTGGTGGAGCGGGTGTTTGGTGTTTGTGTGGTGTTTGGTGTTTGGTCGGTGTGTTTGACGGCGCTGTACTCACTCAGCTGGTGCAGGGGGTGCGGCTGCTTGGCGTTGGGGTGGTGTTTGATGGCGTTCATGCGCCGCTGGAAGCCGCCCGGCTCCCGCCGCGGTCCCCGCCGGCTGTGCTCGGCCGGCAGCACTCTCCGCCGCTTCTTCGGTAACTTGGAGCGAGCCTGCGGCGCAGACGGGTGCGTGAGCACGAGCACAAATGGCCGCAAACAGCTCCCGGCCGGGGGCTACGGTGCTGTGTGGCTTAGCCAGGCAGGCATTAGTTTTGTTTCCAAAGTTGTCCAACGTGCCTGCCTGGGAGGTTTCTCAAAACAAAGCTTCAAATGTGATGCCTATCTTGCTTGGACTGACAAGGTTTCTCAAAACAAAGCTTCAAATGTGATGCCTATCTTGCTTGAACTGACATAACTTGTGTAAGGTTAATATGAGTAAACTGGCATTCCATGACGGGAAACATTGTCACGTTTTGGGCATCGACATTCGACGCAATGATGGAGTCGTGGTAATGTGCACAACACACTTTACACGGTACGCATTACACATAAAACTTATAGGTAACGTGAGTATTCCGTGTGACATGATAGCTTGCGCTTCTCACACAAACTGTAATTTCCTCAAAGATCGATAATTCGGAAAAGCCGAACTACAAACTAAATTGAACTATTGTGTTTCCTCTGTTATTGGTATCTTAGACTCGCTTTCCTCATTAATTCTGCCGGTGTGTCTCGGGTTTCTGGTAAACAGGCCGTTAGCATGCCGAAATGCGCCACCGGTCGTGGCGTTCATTAGGACGCGCAACGGCTGCCGACGATCTATATAGCAAGCTCTTTGAATGCCGCCAGATGAAATGATTGGCAAATCATACAGGCTCAGTGCTTAATTGCATAGTGTGTTGACTAGGATTTTTTTACGAGAAAAAGTATTTGGTAGCATGATTCTTGCTTTATCAGTTGACGATAACGACCTACATACAGTGAAGTGCAGGTTTTTTGGATGCTGCTGAGCGCATCGGGGAGCTGTTCTTATTGGGGATTAAATTTTCCCCTTGAATAGTTTGCATAATAGTTTGCATAATTATAGTTATGATAATGTTAGCTCTTACTACATAGGTATATTTACTTTCGATAAAATAATGCAAGTTTGCTTTTATTCGACATGTTTATTTAGGCGCTAGCTCCTGTCTGCAAAATTCCAAAAGTTTCTACGCATTTTTGTGCGCTTTGACTGGAAAGTGTAAACGAGTGGAAATTCATACAGCGCCGTTATCTTTAAAAGGTTAATTGAAGCAGCACTTTATACTGCCCTACTGACATTAAGTTGAGGCCAGGCGATAAAGTGTAATAAACCTTCACTTCAATTACATCCACCATCATTGCATTAACACCGTATAATGGGGTAAACAGTCCCTCATGAAGATAGGGCACATATTGGTTCTCGTCCAAAGGCGTATGTTGAAGCGGGTACAATTTCACAGGATTTCGCTCTCAGATGCGCAATGAATAGTGGATGGTTAAATAAATCAGCACCCACTAGTATAGCAACCCACGGGAGATTTATTGGCCTCATAATGATTAACCCTCGCCCCGTTGGGGGGGGGGGCCATTTTGGCCCCCCCTGTGGTTTTTCCTGAATAGCAAGAAAACGGCGGCGCGCAGCGCCGCCAAATTTTCAGTACCTTCCCGGGCATCAATTTGACACCTTCACACCAAATTTCAAGTCTTAGGTCATCTTAGGTCAGGAGTTATTGAGGTCAAACTGAGGTCATGTTCGAGCAAAAATGACCAAAAAACATGCAATCTTGAAACGCTCACCAAATCTACAGTTATCAAGCAATTTCAAAGTTCTTTATATGGTGTAGTAGACAAAAAGCGGCGCTACAAAACTGCTATCTCGGATTTTCAAAATTTTGGTTTTTTGACCCCAAAAAATTCAAAAAATTGATTTTTTTAGAAAAACTAAAAAAAAAATCCAAAATTTTCCCGAATTTCGAAAAAAACCGGAATATATGTGATAGTCCCTGCGCTCTTCTATATACATACCAAATTTCAGATCGATATCTCGTTTTTTGGCCAAGTTATAGCGAAAAAACTGTTCAAAAATGATGACGTCAAATTTTTGAACTCAATTTTTAGCGATTCTAGACCACGTACGGCAAAACAAAGACCACCATTGAACTCCCCGTGACGAGCTGCATCGATTCGATACCCATTTTATGCAAAAATATTAACTTTAAAATTTGACCTAATTTGACCTGACCTTGACCTGACCTTGACCTGACCTTGACCAAAACGTGACCTAAGCTGGCCCCAAAGGCTGCCTGACCCACATAATCGCATTCGTCATGTAAAATGGACCATAAAACATGTATCACACGACACTTTCATATTGTGACCCCCCCCGTGACCTGACCTCTGTGACCTGACCTGGTATCAGTGACCTCAAATAGCAAAATATGTGTTTGAAGAACATTTCCCCATCGATGACTTTCAATGAAATGCATTTTACTCGATTTTACAACGCATTTCTTGAAATGCCTATAAACGGTGAAAATTGGACCTTTGACCTGACCTGTGACGTCATCGGTTTGACCTAGGTCAATAAAATTGGGTCACAAGGTAGTTCCCTGATAGGGCTATCCAACACCGTTTGCCGCTTGTCGCTAGGTTGCGTGGTTCTCGAGATCTTAGGGGGGGGGGCCAAAATGGCCCCCCCCCCCAACGGGGCGCGTTGCTCGGCAGAGCCCAACGGGGCGCGGGTTAAGGACTGGCCTTTCATGAACATCTATTTTCATGTCAGGCCAGGCCGGAGCCTATCCAATAATCTCAGCAGGATTATGGCGGGTCTTTGAAAGAGTTCGTCCTGAAATGTTATTTATAGTTCTGAAGGACATATTACTAAGTAGCTGTAGGATAAGCGCGAGTCAAGAAGAGGTGGTCCAGAGTTCAGCGCGGGCGGGAGGTGACGGCGCCCGCCTGGCCGGCCGGCCGATCCATACCGGCTAATCTCTCGGCGTGTGACGTAGCCCCGCCACTATCGCAACTCAAACAGGCCCTGTTGACAAGCTGCGCCGTTAATGAATTATCCGGGCGCCCCGACGGTGGTGACCCGGCCAGGATTAGGGCCAGCATGGCGAAAGGTGAGAGGCGAGAGTTTAGAGGGTATGTGCACGGCGTTCACTGAATCACCCTGTGGCCTTTTTTGTTGTCCACCTGGCAGACTTCTTCGGGCCACAGACAAACGATTTCTGTATTGATATGCTGAACTAAACAATGTGGACTAGTGACAGACAAGCAAGTTTTTCAGTCGGGAGCCTTCACCTTTGTTACATATTGAGTAATGATATACCTAGAAGTGATGCTGAAGGATCATTGTCGCTTGTCTGCGATATTTATTATTAAGTGTAACTTGTCCAAGTGTTCATTACTTTCCTTATACACACACCTCATTTATTCTTGTTAGCATAGGAGCGACATTCATGCAGAATCGCATGCCTTAACGCTCTCAGCTTTCAGTCGATGCCCCGTGCACACATCATTAGAAGGTCATCGTTATCTTCGTATAGATGAGGGAACTTGGAAGCTGGCCATGGCTAGTCAGCTGGTCAGAGTGACTGTGGACCGACTAAGCTGAATATTCTGGCATGCTCTAAGAATATCGAGTATTTACTTTTAAAAATGACATAGAAGCATCATCCAATATTTCTGATCGCCATGACGTTCCCCGCAGCACCTACCTGCGTGTGCGAGTAGACGTTGGAGAAGTTGGAGACGATGACGGGCACGGGCAGCGAGATGGTGAGCACGCCGGCGATGGCGCACAGCGCGCCAACCAGCATCCCCACGTACGTCTTGGGCACCATGTCGCCGTAGCCGACCGTGGTCATGGTGACAATCGCCCACCACAGGCCCTCGGGGATGCTCTTGAAGTCGTTGTACGGGTTGGCCTGCAGCCGCTCGGCGTAGTAGACCAGCGATGCGAAGATGACGATGCCGAGTATGAGGAAGAAGACGAGGAGAGTCAGCTCTTTGGCACTGGCTTTGAACGTGTGGATGAGGATTTTCAGTCCGGGCGAGTGGCGGGTCAGCTTGAAGAGCCGCAGGATGCGGATGATGCTGAAGAACTCGAGGATGTCGGCGTTGGTGTTGGTGAGGTTCTTGTTGAATTTGTTCAGCAGGAAGTCGGTCAGCATGTCCGTGTAGAAGCTGAGCGTAGCGATAAAGTCGATGATGTTGACCGGCGACTTGATGAAGTCGAGCTTGTTAGGACTGACGATGAAGCGGATGATGATCTCGAAGGTGAACCACATGTTGCAGGCCAGCTCGACGAAGAAGAAGGCCTTGTGCGGGTTGGTGCGGTTTTTGTCCAGCGTCCAATGCACGGTGTTATTGACACCGGTCACAGTGACGTTGTCTATCACAGGCACTCGCATGTTGGGGTGGGTTTTTAGGCAGAACGACAGGATCGAGATGACGATGAAAAACACTGATATCACCGCTACTATCTGAAACGATACGAAACAAACGTCACCTTGCTTAGACACTGGCACGACACTTCAATTGTCTTGATTACATATGCATGGGCTACGTGTCGGGCGCAGGCAAAACAATGCGATGACATCTCACGCGACCATTCCCATCTGCAGATATAAGTGCCCAACAAATGTAGCACAATTTTACTCCCATATTCCTCACTTCCCTCCCTACTAATGCTGTCCTTTAAGTTACTAAGTTACTAATGTTATTGGGTTAGCCTATTTCCAACTGTAGTTTAGTTGCCCAATATACAACATAAGGAACATCTGGGGCGTGGTTTATTGGTCGACAGAGCTTCTAGAAATATCCGGCAAGGGCTGCTGCTTCTCGTATGCTCATGGCATTGTCATTAAATCGCTTGACTTGCTTTGTTCCGATATCGAAAGAATAATGGTGAAAAGCTGACTTGCGTATGCATACGTTCTTTGGGACTAAGCTCATTTAGCTTCTTTGCTGCACATTCCACCCTGCTAAAGACTTATTAGCATGAGACGGACTTGATAACTTGACCACAGTTTTTGTTAAAAGAAATGAGACGTGAACAATGTATCGTATACTCTGATTCAATATTGACGCGTTTAGCCATATTAACCCGCGCCAGGCCGGAGAGGGGGTGTTTGAACACCCCCTGCGGTTTTTCGCAGATATTTCAAAAACGGCGGCGCACCGTGCCGCCGTTTTTGGCACACCTGTTTGTGCATCTTTTCCGCACATGTTGTGAAAATTTTAGACCCAGGTCGCCTTAGGTCAGGTCACCAGGTCACGCCAAGTGACCTCACCTAAAAAAAAGAATGCTCGTCATAGCTACACCGACTGAACGATTGCCTTGAAACTTTAAGCGATTGATTAGAGCAACATTATCTATAAAATGTATATCTTGGAATTTTGATATCGGTGACCTAAGGTCAGGTCAATTTTACGACCTCTCCATTATAAGTCAATGGGAGAAAATTGAAAAGCGTCTGTTTTGCACGAACGCTATTCTAGACACTCTCAAACATCGAGATGTAGGTAAAATTGATACACTGAACCGGAAAATGGCAACTGTGACCCCTCGTTATGTCCCCGAGGTCATCTCAGGTCACGAACAGAATCTAACAGTTTTTCGCTAATAACTTCTGATAGAGGTGTGCTAGAGCGATAGAAATGCCTTAGATGTGTTCGGCTCGACGTTGCGGATCGACTGATATGCAACATGGCCTTTTCCGGTCAGGTCATGACGTTGACCTGAGGTCAAATGTTCAAGCTGACCTTTCAAGGTTAAATTATAGTTCATTCGACGCGTCTCGACGAGAGAAACACGATGCTGGCAAAAGTAATGTCATGCTCTTTTGAGTCAAAAGTTATTGCCGAAAAAAACACTTTTCGTAAAAACGGCTATTTTTGGAGTTTTTGCCCTCTGGAGGCTATACCGTTGACCTGAGGTCAAATCTGAGAACAACACTCAGAAAGGTCTGTAAAAGGGCTATCGAATGCGCTTTTCCGCGGCGCTGTAGCTCTATCGGTTCCCGAGATAGCCTTCGGCAGTTTCCAAAATTTTGAAATAGTCAACATTTTACCTTTGGTGACCTCCTGACGTTTGACCTGACCCAAAAAAATGACCGAAGTGTTTTCGTCCTTATTTTGGACGTTCTTTCGATTGCCGCTTACCGCGTGTCGCTACGTGGCCCAGGAGCCGAGTTAGAAGGTTGGGGGGTGTTCAGACACCCCCGGCCCAGCGCGGAATCTCGGAGCACCGGCCCGGCGCGGGTTAACCCGCGCCCTGGTGTGGGTCTGAGCCACCTTCGCCCTGGTGGGGGGGGGGGCCAAAATGACCCCCCCCGTCTAACTCGAAAACGAAGAGGGCTAGGAAGACGCGGAAAAAAGCAAACGAAAGCCCATAACAAGTACGTTCGAAAGTATTTCGGTCATTTTTTCGCTAAGGTCAATATTGAGGTCGCTAGAGGTCATCATAGATCAAATTTCAGTGTTTTCGGTGTTGCCGGACATATTCCGCTGTAGCTCGGAAACTAGAAGAGCTAGAGAGCCGCGGAAAAAAGCAATCGATAGCTCTTTTCAAGCTCTTTCGCCAAGGTTCGTCAGATTTGACCTCAGCTCAACGGTTTGGCCTACAGAGGTCATGCAAGGTCAACTTGGCAAATTTCGTTGAAAATGTTTTTAACTATAGCATGCATTCACGAGAAAATAGAGAAACGATTCATGCACCATCGTGCTTGGCTCGTCGAGACGCGTCGAATGATATATAGTTTGACCTCGAAAGGTCATTTTGAAAATTTGACCTCAGGTCAAGGTCATGACCTTACCGAAATAGGTCATGCTGCATATCATTCGATCCGCATTGACGAGACAAACACGATAAACGTCGAACGGAGTCTCTATCTCTATTCAATAACAAGTAAGTGCAGAAAAACCGCTGGTGACCTCTGGTGACCAGGGAGATGACCTAGCGTGACCTCAGCGAGGTCACAAGCAAATGGTTTCACATGGGCTGTGATTTGCTGACCCAAGACACTTCAATAACGAAATATAGGAACAATCACGCCCGATTTAGCTGAAAAACAACTACTTTTCGATTCTCCCATTGACTTATAATGGGGAGCAGCGATGACCTGACCTGACCTTAGGTCACATTTATAAAAAATCCGAGATAGCCATTTTGTAGAGCTGGGTGACATCTTCAAGTACTGTAAATTTTACATCGATCGGATAAAAGCTGTGCCTTTGAGAGAGCTTTGAACTTTTTTAGAGGTGGTGTCAGTTTTGGTGACCTTGTGACCTGACCTGACCTGACCCGAACCCCCCAAAAAAGGACATGATGTAAAAATGTTGAATAAACAGCTATACAAAGTTTCAGGGCGCTAACTCAAGTGGTTTCTGAGTTATTGCTGAAAAACCACAGGGGGGGGCCAAAATGGCCCCCCCCCACCAGGGCGAAGGTTAATGTTACCGTTTCTACCACGTCCGGTATTAGAAATAATGCTTGTGGAAGATTTTAAAATTGAATTTCTCAGACACACAAAACAGCATTAGGGCGTGCATGTAAGCTTGTTTTTACTGCAGCAAGTCATGTTTCTCGCCTAGTCTGAAGCCCAGTGCAGCTGAGGATGTTTTGTTGGTAGCGTTCGACTGATTGAAATTGATGTGATTTTCGTGTTTACGTCTCGAGCATTACAACGTCCCAAGGGAAATTCAGTTAGCTCTACACTACGTAAGTACCTGCGGCCTCGAACATGACTTACTTGGCAATGTTCGCGCCTTGCTAATGGAGCAACTGCCTTACCTCTCTAGATTTATTCTAAGCGATGGAGTAACTATTTCTAATTGGTTTGAATTGTATGACCGATTGGTGGATACTTCTGCTTTTGGATGCAGTATTTAGACCTTGGCCGTTCATTAAGCCATAGACGGCTATACGTGTTGGGTTCAGAACCAAAAGTAATCGATTTTACCCAATCTATGTCTGAACGGGGACTCCTAATTTTCGAGCGGGCTAAAATACCTGAATCTCTTTTGACTGAATAGCTTGTTACCAATATTAATTTAATGCATTAAGGTCTTGTCTTTGATTCAAACTTTGAAAACCGATTACACCCCTGGGGATATTGCTAAAAGCCATCACCACCTACCTTTGCTGCTACACAAGAATACGGCTCGTCGAAAAGACTCCAAACTTTTGGCTTCAAAGTTTGCCAGCAGGAAAGTTTTCCAGCCATGTAGTCCTCTTCGAAGCCGAATTTTCTGGCGATCTCCTCCTCGGACGGGTGTTCCGAATCCAAGTCGAGCTTGTCCAGAATCGCCAACGTTGTCTGCAATCGGACCGATGAAATTTTTAGTGTACGTACCTATGTGAAGTAGTGATTATAGGGGTTTTGCGCTGCTTACAATAGAGGTGTTGACTGTGGTGCAGGCAGGAAGGGGGGGGGGGGCTGAGGGAGTGAGGAGATTCTGCATGGATGTTTATAGCATTTAGTGTTTGATTGATATAGGTCATCCATATCTGGCTCTCCCTGTGTTTGGTGTAAGTCATCATTACCTGTGTGTCTCTGTGTTTGGTGTAGGTCATCCAGCAGCAGGGCTCCACCTGATTCGAGTCGAGGCCCCAGAACTCCAGCTCTTCCTCGAATAGTGGGCCGCACACGTTGGTCGGGTAGTGCAGCTTCCCCGTCCTGTCAGCAGCAGCGGGCCGCACGGGGCTCAGCGGTGCCGAGGAAAAACACTCAGGGGCGGCGCCGAACTCCGGCTCGGCGACAATGAACCCCGCATTTACGGCGCCGCGGCCTTTCCGTCCCGCTGGGGAATGGGTAATGAACCCCGGTTACGGTCTATGAACATTCCTCGTAAATGAAAACATAGTGCTACACCCCGCGGCGGGAAACGCCACTCGCACCTCTGAGCTAGCTGTGTTCAGGAATACGGAATATCGCAACTGGATGTTACACCACATAAAATAGGTTGTCCGCTTTCAGCAAGCTAACCAGCGTGCCAGTGCTACTTTGAATTAGGGAAAACAGGCGTCAAAAGTGATTATTTGAACATGTTGATTGACTGCAATCACATTTACTTGAGCTCAATCAACACTCAAATTATCGTAACTCGTAACCGAATTCGAACATTATAATCTAACCCTTTTCGACACCTACAAGTAAAATTGTTTCCAATTTCGTCTTATCTGCAATGGACAAGACGTACCAATGAAGAAGTTTGAAGCTTCTGGTCAATTCAGCTTGTCTAGGGCCCTTTCACTCGCACCATCGACTCGCCAACAGCAATTTACATTTCAGTTCATCTCAACTCGACACGCATTCCATCAAGAATACAATTTGATTCTGACTTCATGCTTCTGTGAATCCTAGCGGCCGCCAAGATTCACAATCGTCTAGCTTCACGCCCCACTAATCCAGTTGGGCCTTGATGACATGACTATCTTTGGCACCATCTTCACGGTAATGTGACATGCATGGTTTCCCCGAACTTCAGCGCGTGGACGGCCGGCCTAAAATAGTCGCAACTGCAGATCTGAGGCAGTCTCAATTCCTAGCTTCGTCGGCCGATCCGCAGCATTAATGGGCTTTAAACGAGTCATTAGACGCGCGGTATCTGGCGCCCACACGCGGGCACGTGCCGGTGGGGTCATTACCGTGGCATTGCCCGGCCGAGTCGGAGATGACATCAGAAACTCGGCCGCCGCAACGTGGGAACGCCTCATTAAGGGTCGCTGGATTAAGCTGCCCTTAATGGAACTGAGCCAGGGAATTCAGTTACAGATTGCGCCCATTCTGAGAAACACGTCCAACTCTTGGCAATACAGGGGCGCCGTACAGATGGAACAAGTAGTAATGGTGAAACACTTAGAAGACACTCGGCGCAATGCTGGAGGATTTTGAGCCCTAGCAAGTTTTCTAATCTTGCGAATCACTCCATGTGCTCTGTTCGTGACATTCAGCGATGAGCGAACCTTCAGAAAAGTAGCAGACGTTATCACGTTATTGTTGATCGAGAAGGTAATCCGAGATGTTATTTTCGATTATCCGACCTCTGACTTGCTACATCCCTATTGCCTACAATTAATTTTGATACTAAGTAACAAATACGACAACTTTGGCATAGTTTTTATTGCATCATGTTGGGAGTGACGTGGTGTTATCTTTTGATGATTTTGTTACGGAGCGAGCGAAGCGAGCGGAGTCTTTCCTTAGATTAACGGAAATTTCTGAGTATGAGCGGCCTGCCGGCCGGCCGGCCGGCCGTGCGGACGCTTTTGCGAGGCTTATATCTCAGCAACCACTTGACCGATTTACATGCGGTAATTTTTGTAGGGTAGCTTCATTCCTTCTACCAAGTATTGGACTATTCCTGATGCATGTGGGTGACCCCTTATGCACGTGCCACGTGCAAAACGAAGAGGTGTCAGTTTTGTAATTGTTGCAATATCTCGGTAACTACTTGGCCGATTGCGCTGAAAGTTGGCATGTAGGTAGGCACCCACTAGGCACTGCATATCCATGAGTTGGGGTGCTGCTGCACGTGCGCACGTGCAGGGGTCGTTTCCAGATCTCGAGAACGGCTCGACTGATTGCGCTCAAATTTGGTACACAGTTAGGGACCGGTTAGTAGGGTGCCGTGCACAAGTCAGTTGGGACCCATTTTGCACGTGCGCACGTGCAAGGTGCCGCTTCCAGATCTCGAGAACGGCTGGGCCGATTGTGCTCAAATTTGGCACATCGCTAGTGACCGGTTAGTAGGGTGCCGTGCACAAGTCAGTTGGAGGTACCCCCTCGAAATTTCGCACGTGCAAGGCCCACCCTCTCGCTCGCTCCGTTAGTCGCGCCAAAAGGCGTTATACTGGTGTTACTCTTTAAAAATGTATCAGGCTTTCTACCCTGGTGGATACTGGGGCCATCTGAGGCATACCTAAGCCTGTGCAGCGTGCAAATGTCATACAAGAGGATGTTTACTCGATATGAAAAGAAGGCTACTTTTTATCTAAAATGTTTCTTTGAACTGCAAACCATATGACACAGCAAACTGCAATAATGTTAGAAATGTAATATTTTTAGTATTATGACCCTACAGCGTTCAGCACCGCCTTTCTGGACACCTTTCTACACTCACCGGTAATAGTTGAGGATCTGCGCGAACACGCCCGGGTGCCGGTCGAAGAAGAACTCGTTGAGCACGGGGTCGAAGTTGGCGAGCGCCTCGGTCAGCCGGGACAGCCGCGTGGCCGGGATCTTCTTCAGCGTGGCCTTGTACGTCTCGAACCGGATGCCGCCCACGTTGAGGATTATGCGGTTCTCCCCGTCCATGGTCCAGGCTCCTATAAAAAAGAACACTGGTGATATGCAAAGTGAACGTCACTTATCACATACTGGCGTCACATACAAGGCCAACGTCACTTAGTTGGTAATTATTGGGTCCTAGAACTTCCAGATCTGGTGCAGTGGCATGCTACCGGTCGTCTGAAAGTGCTTCAATATGTCGGTTGGGAAGTGAGAAACTGGATGAGATCGATGTTTTGAAATAACTTGTTCATTTGCTGTATAGATATGGCTTTATATAAGGCGTACAATGCTTGATAGCTATTGTAAGCTCGATTGTATGTTTCTTTAAATTTGTATTTTATCACGATTTGGATATTTTGTAACATCAATCACGATATTCATTTAATAAAACATTGATTAAAACGGCCGAATTATCCAGTAGCGGCGGAACACTTTCAATTAAGGGGGGGGGGGGGCACTGCCGACTTTTGGTCCCATTCTTTCCATGCAACGCCCACAGGGCTAATGTTAAAATGCCAAAATCAAAGGGGGCACGGTGCCCCGGTGCCCTCCCCGTTCCGCCGCCTATGGAATTATCTGAAGCTGGTGGCACCTTTTTCTTGTATCTATTGTGTCAGTCATATGCATATTTATTGAAAAATAGCACATTGCTTTGTAAATTCGTCTGTATAGCGTAGCGTCCGAAGTATCAACAAGAAGGGATTGCGCCGGGCAGGTGGTGCGGTGTCTGCCCTGACAGCGGCGGAGCAGATGGTGCGGTGTCTGCCCTGACGGCGGCGGAGCAGATGGTGCGGTGTCTGCCCTGACAGCGGCGGAGCAGATGCAGGTCTCCTCAGCGACAACTGCGAAAGCTCATCTTTACATGATGTCAAGGACTCGAATGTTTGCTTCACCTTGTTGCCAAGAAGACGGGTCCACCCTCCTTCCCGCATCGGCAGGGACTGGGGCCTCCCCACACGGCGACAGCAGGCCCGATACGCGGATACCCCGAGGGCCTGCCACTGAGCCGAGGCGGCCTTCCGGGCCTGCATCCGACGCTAAAAGCCCGTTGAATGGGGTAGCTACATCAGCGATCGACGACCGCGGGTGTCGCTCCTGGCTGTGGTGTAAGTGTGTCGCTCCTGGCGGTGTATGCGTATGTGTGTGTATAGGGGGGGGGGGGTGAAGGACCCCTCTCAGAGCTGCTGGTCACAGATAGATGATTTATGTGGGAAAATCGAGGCGATGTGTGCAGTGCCGTACAGTTAGGTCATAATTTGTGAGAAGGTTAGGCGAGGTTGGGACCGCATAAAAGCCATCTTACTACATTCGTTTCATCAGTAGCTACTCAACGTCAATGCTTTTGAAAATATGTAGTCTCATGGAAAAAAACTTGTAGGTGCAACCTATGCTATGTGCAACGTGTTTTTATGACTTGGCTTACCCTTTGAATGTGCCTTCTTAGTAAAGAAAAAAATCGAAGTCTTTGACATCACATAATAATGATTATATTTTGCGTACAATAATTTGCATTGCTACTTACCTACTCCACTCAGTAGGTATTCGTATTAGGCCTATTGTCTAATGTTTCATCTTATATTTCATATTTTTTTTTTTTAATAACAATAGTATTCAGCTTCTGACATCGTTTCACACGCAAAGATAAGAAGAGAGACAACAGAATAAACTGATCGCCTAGTGACTCCCAGCATCCTACACACTTTTACAATCCTTTTTAGCTAGACCGGTCAAATGCTTCAGCCAACCCTGCCCACTTCTTTTCATGGTCACATAATTTTCCCCTTTTAAGCGCTATGTGTTTTTCCGTGATCATATCCCTTTTCAATATAGTTAATAAAATGTCAACAGAAAGTAGGTATTTACCAGCAATCATCGTTTTGCCTACGATGATGATATGATTAATAGCCAGCAATTCATCATTTCCTAGAATTATCATTTTCAAGTTAAAAAAAGACATGTTTCGAACTAAGCCTACGTTCCTCAGATATGTTTCAACGTCCTTCCAAAATGCTCTGACCAATGGACAAAACCAGAATCTGTGCATTATAGTATCAATACATCGCGTACATCTGTCACATCTATACGATACTGTTATGCCCATTTGGTAAAGTAAACGTTTTGTTGCCACAATTTTCGTTAAAATTTTGTATTGTAGTGTTCGATATTTAACCGAAATTAGTCTAAGATTTGCTTCATATACTTTCAACCAGTCAATCTGTCCCATCTCTTGCTCCCAACCCAACTCCCAACTGTTTTTACTTCCCTTGTGTTTATGATGTAGAAGTGTGTTATAAATATACTTACTGCCTTTTTTCTGACTAATGATTTGGGTGAATAATAGGATATGCTTCCTTTACTTTACCTTGTCTGTTTTTCCATTCAACAGGCAGACTATGTACCAGACCTAGATAATCTATTATTGTCCCTTTCAGATCATAAGTAACTTTTGCTTCCTCAAAGGACATTATTTCTCCATTGTCCCTTAATAGGTCATTGATGTAAACTATTCCTTTTTGCCTCCATGCTTTTATTTCATAGTTTCTAAATTTTGTATGATTTGAAAACCACACGGAGTGTCGATTAACATCTTCTATGTCCACCATGATGCTCTGATCATATTTTGCCATTGCTCGTACAACATCTGTCCAAAATTTATTGGACATATTTCTTCCCATTTCCAATAATGAATCTGCATTGCGCTCCCAGATAAACTGGAATCGTGCTATTTCTTGCCTAAACAACTTGCACCAGTCATGATTACCCATGATTTCTCTCCTCACCCATGTAACTTTCAGGGCGGTATCGTACGTGTCAACATCTACCATATTACACCCTCCCTTTAAATGATCTCTATAAATACTACTTCTTTTCAACCGATCAACTTTTCCGTTCCAAATGAACTGGAATAATGTCGCTTTCAACTTTTTCATAAACTCCTCTGGCGGACTGGGGAGTGCTGTAAGTATATGTGTCAAAATCGGTAGCAAAAACGTCTTGATGATTATGATTTTACCACCCAGCGACAAATTGCGTCTATTCCAGCTGGCAATAATTGCACTAATTCTCGTTAGCTTGCTGCCATAGTTTTCTTCCACTGATTGAGTCTCGTCATTAGCAAAAATGATTCCCAGAACCAGAAGTTTCTTTGTCCATCTTAAAGCCAAATCCGAACAAATTGGCTCTCTTGTTTCTGCATCCTTACCTACCCAAAACGCCTGGGTCTTCTTAATATTAGGTTTTAATCCGGAGTATTTAGCGAAGATTCCTAAGTCTTCGAATAAAACCCTACAACTATTCACGCTACCATCTAAGTAGCACATCACATCGTCCGCGTAAGCAGACATCTTGATTTCCAAATCACCTACTCTGACTCCAGAAATATTTCTGTTTTGTTTAATTCTTTGAAGCAATGCGTTCATTACAATCACAAAAATATATGGGCTAAGAGGGTCTCCTTGTCTACATGATCTTCCTAGCTTTATCCGTTTTGATATATGTCCATTATAAACAATCAATGAGGCAGCCTCTGAAGAAAGCGTATCGAACCACCGAATACAAAATGCAGGGAAGTTTAACTTCTTCAACATTATGCGAATGAAGTCCCAGTTAACTGAGTTAAAGGCATCCTGAATATCCAAGCTAAGAAATAAAGCACTTCTCTATGTACTATTTAAATGATGAATAAGGTCATATGTAAGTCTAGTGTTGTCACCAATAAATCTGCCCTGTATAAAACCCGTTTGTTCATGACCAATAACATCTGGTAAGACCTTCTTTATTCTATTTGCTACTACAGATGCAACTATCTTATAGCTCGAATTTAGTAACGTTATCGGCCGATATGATTTTATCTCATCTTTAGGCTTCAGAGGTTTTGGAATGAGTGTTACAATTCCCTCAGTTAAAGACGTTGGTAGCCTACCATTTTCATAGCTTTCCATTACCATTCTATGGAAAAAAAGTTTTAAGTCTTTCCAAAATAGCTTATAAAATTCTGCTGGAAATCCATCTGTTCCCGGCGCCTTATTATTCGACATTCCTTTTAAGGAATCTGTAAGGTCCTGAAGCGTCACCGGTCTATTCAATTCCTTAAACTGTATTTGTGAGAGCTGTTCCATATGTAGATCATCTACAAATTTCTCCGCCTCTGTGCAATCAATGGGCTGTTCAGTAAATAACTCAGAAAAATGTTGAACTAATATATCCATTATTTCTGTTTGTTTCGTTCTCCGCTCATTATTTGCATCACACAGACAAGCAATGTTTTTATTAACATAATTTCTTTTTTCACACCCCAAGAAGTATGCTGTCGATTTCTCACCTTCCTCGTACCAGCGAGCCCTGCTTCGTGTCACAATACCCTCCATTTTTATTTTCCTAAGGCCCTCTAATTTTTCCCTACAGACTGATAGTCTTGACTGTACTTCGTCGGACGGCTCGCCTTCTTCATGATCTCCCAATCTTTGAATTTCCTTAATTACTTTGAACTCTTCTTCTACTAACTTCCTACGTCTATGAATTGAATAGGAAATCGTTTCAGTACGCATGTTCAGAATCAGAGCTTCCCAAAATGCACTCCAGCTGATCATCACCTCAACTTCTGTTGGTTTTTCTCTGACAAAAGTAACTGAATAAACTGGAAGAGCATAAATTAAAATCGTGTCCCTTATTGTCTTTTCTATTAATTGTACATATTCTCGATCCATTAGCAAAGATGTGTTCATTTTATAGAACCCTTTCCCCCTCTTTTGCTCTGTCAGGTTCAGTTCCATTGTAATTATAGAATGGTCGCTTCGATAACCTGGAATGATATCAACATCTGTTACCATTGGCATGAGGGATTCTGACGTAAGAAAGTAGTCTAATCTTGCACACTTTCTAACAGGATTGCCTACTCTCCAAGTAAACTTCTGCCTTTCACCCTTAATTTCTCTGTAAATGTCGATCAAATCACTACGATTCATGATGTTTTTTACTGCATCAGTGGCCTTTTTATTATGCTGTTGGGAATAATTAAGGGCATCTATCGAAAAATTTAAAGTGATATTTAAATCTCCACCCCAAATAAATGGCACGTCTTTCTCTCCTTTCATTTTTTCGCATATATCCCACACGTTAATAAAAAAATGGGGATCATCTATATTTGGGCCATATGTATTCACTAATATAACTTCAAGCTGATCATTAATCACCACACTTGCAATGATATAATTTCCGAATTCATCAATGCGTATGTCGTTGTATTTCAAATCCACTGACCTCGATAAAATTGCCACCCCTCTCGAATTCTGTGAAAACCCTGCTATTTTTGCGTCTCCGCCCCACATATTGCGGAAGTAATTTTGCCTTTCTGGTTTGCAATGTATATCTTGTAAAAGACATATGTTGAAATCACTCTGGCGTAGGTAATTCAAAACATCTCTTCTTTTCTCAAACGTTCCCAATCCCCTACAGTTAAAGGAACATATTTTTACTTCACCCATCCGACTTTAAATATAAATCCTTGTGACCATGAAAACAAGTGAGCTGTTACTGTCCGTAGCTGGGATCTCCCATTTCTCTCTGCCTGTTCTTGATGCATATGTACACCACACATCCAATCAATAACACTGCACGAAACAAGGCATGCAATTCCGCACCAGAAGTGCCATAAACGATTTGCACACGGTTTGAATAACACGACACATACATAGCCAATATCTAAACTTAATGCCTCCCAGAACAAAATAAACCAGAAGCCTACAATCGCATCTCCGGGTAGGTGAGCCTTTCCTCCGCTTCGGCGAAGTCCCTTTCCCGCATTCCCGTATGACCCCCCACCTGATGTTTTACCCCCTACCGGCAGAACGCCTCCCAGCTGACCCATTTTTCTTGACATACCTACTCTAACCTTTAATCACACTTGCTATGCTTTGCAGATACAGATACAAATTGGCGGATGTCCCCCCCAAAACGCCGACGGACGCCGCCCGCAGGTACCTGATTCTCGGCGGGACGCTCTTCCTCCCTCAAGACGTGGCTCGTCTGGTCCGTGCGTGGTTCAACGGAAACGGACCGCCGCCCACCAGCCGCAGGCTCCGGTTCAGGGCGGCGGTTCTCAGCGTCCTCCGGTGTCGTCCGTCCCTGACTCGGTCCGCCGTCATTGTAGCCCGATCCTGTGGTCTCCGTCGTCGGTCCTGCGGTCTCCATCGCCGGTCCTGCAGTCTCCACTGTCGGTATCTCCGTCTGGGCTGGATCTGCCGCTCCGTCATCGTCCCGGTATTGTGACAGGCGCTGTGTCTGGCTGCCCGCCGGCTCCCTTGACCACTCCGCTTCCCGCGATCTGGTGTTTCCAGTGGCGCCGGCGCGCTGGTTCTGGTGCTCTGGGGAGCCGTTCTGGTCTCGAGGCTCCGACATGATTTGGATCAGTCGCTCCAGCGCAGCCGGAGAACGGATCGGCCGAGGACGGTCGCCCCGTTCTACCACCACGAATGAGATGCCTTCTCGCGTGAAGACGGTGCTGATTTGGCGCCTTCTTTTCAGCTGTGTCAGATATTGAAAGATGCTCTGCCTGAGTGGAGAGAGGCATTCATTTATGTATAGTCCGCTGCCCCGGAGCCTGGTTTTGTTTCTGACGAGGAAATATCGGTCAGAACCAGCGCCGACAGCGTTGAACCGGACGCGGATGAGCTTCTCCTCCCGGTACATCTCCTCCACCTGCCTCATGTCCATGGTGTAATCCATCAACTCCTGAAGCATTGCATTCAGGAGCTTTGCCGGGTCTTCACCGCGTCCGCGACCAGCCGCCGACCTCCGTGGGACCGCAGGTCCACTGAAGACCAACCAGTTCCGCAGTTCACGTTGCTGTAGCTGGTCCACCTGTTCTTCGATGACGGCCATGCGCTTCGAACTAACAAATAGCTCTTTCTCCGCCTTCTCTGCTCTCCTTTCGACCTCAACCAGGCGTTTGGCCAGAGTCTGATTCGTCTCCAGCGCAAAACCTAGCGAGGTCTCCAACGCCGTCATCCTTTCTTCATTACTTTTCCGAATTTCTTCCGCCAATTTTTTGTTGTTGATCACGTTCTCTCGTTGTATGAACCTTTTCAGGTCCGTGATCATGTCCCCGACTTGATCTTCTGTACCTGCAATGTCCGTCTGTTCTGGTTCATCCACATCCTCCTCACCAGTTCTTCTCGTTTTGTTACTTTCTTTCATAAGGGGACTAGTGGTTTTTCGTTTCGATCTTCCCATACTGGCTTTCCTGGTTCAGACCTGTCTACCCAACCAAGTACTTCTGCTTGTTTCTCCGTTCGACAGATGGCGGAAGGCTCGGCGGTCTGTAACTTCAGTCTTCTCAGGTTCTCGAAAGAAGGCGCTAGTGTCGCTTCTACCAAACTTGACCCACATCTACCGGCCAAAGGTTGAACACTGCGACGAAAGTGGCGCACATCAGAATCAGTTCGAAATCGCAATAACTCCCTTTTGCAGCCTTAGACGATAGAGTCGGTACAGTACGGACCTCAACACCACCGTCTGCCACACTTACGGAAGATTTCCTTCGGTCGCACCACCACTCTCTCGCCGAAAAACGGGCAAAACAGCGGAGCACTCGCACACGCGTCTGGGGTCAGCCGGGCGTTCTACTCATTCTATATATTTCATATTGCTAGACGATGCTAGGCACGTTGCTGTCTCCCTGCTGGCATTAGCTAGATTACCAATAATGCAATTTTGATGAATGCGTTGTTTTGGTCCGACGCATTCGTTTCCAGAGATTCGGTTTGCCAATGTCCGGCATAACTTATCAGCTCTGAGTGATTGGTAAGGAGAGCCCACGCTTCGATGTAAAAGACTTAGTTCTCAAGGCTAGAATTTACTACGGAACTTGTTTCGTAATGCGCACAACTTGTCCAATATAAAACGCTATGGAATGACCATAAATATCTCATTTGGAACTGTGCACAGTTGAATGTCTGAATGTCGACCGGCCTCTGACCTATCCAATGATATCCTTATGAATCGCACACTACTTCAATGGAATGACCTTCGACATCGACAGCGCGGATTGCTGCCTCATCTCGGGTCCGACAACAGTGTTCGCCATGGGCCGGGCCAGCCCAATGGGACATGGGCTGGGCTGGGCTGGGCTACGGGCTGGGCTGGGCTGGGCCCTCGAATGTGAAGGATCTATGGGCTGTGGATGGGCTGGGCCAAGAACTGTAAAGTGGAGTCAGGGGTTCACAACTGAGACAAAAACTATAAATACATAGCTTATCACTGTGAAAGACTAAAAAACGAGTTAATAAAGTACGCATGCAATGTGCATTGGGCATGCTGCTAGCAAAAGATTGTTCCTTTGCTACCTTTGGGTACTTGTGTGGTGTCAATAATTTTTAATCCATTCCTTTTTGACAGGCTGGACCGGGCTGTGAACCCATGGGCTGGGCTGGGCTGGACTGGGATTTTGCGGCCCGTGGCGAACACTGTCTGACAATGCCAGTGAATAACGCTCTATCTGACGGCCGCATATGGGCCACATGAGATACCTACCTTTATTGTCAATGCTGTTGGGCCCCATTGGATCTATGAGGATAATGTAATAGTTCTCTTCTTATTTCAGGATTTGATTGAAATAGATGCATTGTCTTACTCTACAACCGATTTGTGATATTTCATGTTCATTCCATGCCCGTCACGAAAAATGTGACCTATTTTTTGTAATCCTTACTAAATGATAAAGTTTTGTGTTGTTGTAATGAGATCTTTCTACTTCTCGTCAGTGCGTTTCAGTCGGGAGTTGATGTCTGTTCGTTTTATGTGAGCGCGAATGATACATGTACATAAGTGATAATAAATATACCGACTTGTTTCGCATATGATCTTAGAGTTAGACATAGAGTTACGCATAGAGTTAGACAAATGCAACTGTTTAAAATGTAGCGGAAGCTAGCCCACATTCAGCCCAGATTCGAAAGCTCCACGCTCTGCTTTGCTATGCGAAGCTCTAGACTCTAGACTCTAGACTCAGTCTAGACTAGAAGATGTCTGATACCAAGTATACAATTCAAGCAAGGTCTGAATTTCCATGAACTCCTTGCTTTGAAGAATGCTGTATCCAGCAATCGTATAACAATGGCCTGCGCTATTACTCTGGGGTGATATAGACTCGCCCTATAAACGGGCTTTCCTGCCAGCTGACTTTACCATTGCTCAAGGGAGGAGATAACTGATTATATTTGACATCATTTGCAGTGTTCATTGTGTAGCTCAATAGAAGTTCCCGGACTGGACATGATCAAATCTGGCCGGCCCGCCGCCTACAGCAAGCGAACCTTTACTAGCGACAAACGGTATTGAGCCGTTGTTAAAAAACGTCACATATACATTGTATTTCAATCTCAAGGCCAGGTACCTTTAATTGAAGTTGCAAACAATACCTTTTTCTCTACAATCTTTTTAGTCAGTAGTCGGCAAGCAAAATGCTTCAACAACCTTTCCCTTTCTTATATCCCTGACTTATGACTACCATTTCTTTATCTTGGGTAAAAAATATTAATACTCTCCGCTGTGAGTGCCTTTCCTGATCGGTACGTGGCTTATATTTGCTTTATTATGATGCTTTTTGTGCTGCTTTTTGTGGTTCGTCTCACGTCTGGCACTTTGTTTCGGGCTAGCGCTGAAATACTTTCGATTAATTTTTGCTTTACGCCGTCTCGATTGACCTGTCAGCTTTGAAACGAAAATTGATAAACCAGCCGCCTTATGATGAAATCTGTCTTTCACACGTCCTAACTGATTGTGTGTTCTAATGAGAATGATTTCACGCTCTCCCATTCAACTGCGAGTGCTTTATTTCGGGATTTTGAGATGTTATATAAAAATCGCATTTTAAACGGGCTCGGGGCCTTTGTTTTATGCTCCATAGTAATGAGGCATACACATTTTTTACGTACCAATGATTTGATCCAAAATAAAAGGGCACCAGAAAAACAAGTGATGCTCTAAAATAAATACAATTTCACAAATTATTGCCCGACGGCCCACACCTACCTGCTGGTCAGTATTTCAGTGCACATCCCGCCAGCATGGCGTCTCAGCTCCGTCGGCCGGTGATCCTGTCGCGCACTGTCCCTTTCTTCTCACTCCGGGAACTGTAGATGTGCTGGCCTCACGAAAAGGTTCCACTCGGTGGCACCGAAACAGCTGTCTCACCTTCGTCGTTTTTAGTTTACACTGTTTAGAATAACGGTAGGTACTACCGTCTCTTAGGAAGCTAAAACTGCTTCTCCCGGCGTTTTTCTTCTTTCGCGGCTGTCCACAGATGACAGACGCGTCTCCCGTCTCCCACAGACGGCGTCTCTCGTGCCCCACAGCCCGCCTCTCGTCTCCCGCAGGCGGCAGGCGACTGTCGGCGATCTCCGGCCCGGCCCGGTGGCGGCCGCGCAACAAGTCGCCTGCGCGCCGCCCGCCCCGCGCCCTGACCCGGCATCCCACGGACTGGGGGGGGGGGGGGGGGGGGCATGCGTGGGACTCTGGCGTGCGCGCGTGCGTGTGATCGCTGTCACTATCAGAACGGGAATGGTTGCATCCTCTACCCGATTCTTGTAACGCAGCCGGTTGGCGAACGTTCCGACTTGAAAACTTACATACCACCTGAGTTCGAAATGTTGACAAAAAACAAGCCATCGTCGAAATAGTTACCTAGAATAATAAATGGCCAGTGGCTGCTGCGTTCCATTTTTCTCTAGGGATCCTGCTGTTTATTTATTCCACGCTCATTTATCGCCGGCGAAATGGGCCTGCTTGACGTGGATGGCCATTTATAAAGACCTAACCTCGTCGATGATTATAAATAGAACGAGGAATAACTAGGTATCGTGCTTCACTGCTCTGAGGTGTCACTAAGCCTGCAAGTGTGGTGTGTACACTTTCACAGTTGAGGATTTCGTGGCCAATACTTGTTGATCACAATTAAATAGCCAAATATTCTATTTATTGTCTTGAGATTTTGAAACATAAACATTTTCTCAGGATACCTAACCCGTTGACAGGAGGGGGTCATGTCTACATTTGTGCTCCCTG